GGTGTGAAAGTTCGACACCTCGTTCGAAGCCGTCCTTTCGGTCAAACACAGTTGTTCTCATGTTTCCATACACGAACAAATCAAGAAGTGTACTGCAGTATGCATGGAAGCCTTTTCGTAGAAGCTTGCAGTTGACATGGACTGTTTTTGAGCTTCGTTCAAACGCCTGTCGCGCCCAGAGCGACATCAACCCGGGTGATGCGCTTACGCATTGTCCGGGTGCATTCGGGTGATGCGCTTACGCATTGTCCGGGTGCATTCGATGCATGTCGCGTCCAGAGCGACAAATCGAGAAGTGTACCTCTCGCCATTGGCTCAAGGCTCAAGGTGTGACGCAAAAGGTGCGTTGCACGCTGGGACGGGCGTGGGCGTTTCGGCTGATCGCGGCCGAGGGATTCCGTTCGATCGAACACGTTCGAAAAGGTTTCAACTGTTTTCTTTTTGGGTTCTCACGAGTTTCCAACTTGAAGTTAACCTTCATAGGTGGTGGTGGTGGTGGTGGTGGTGGTGGTGGTGGTGGTGGTGGTGGTGGCACAATCTCTAAAAGACATCTTGGGGGTATCTCCATCTACAGTATCTACTCTGAAGCCACTGTAGACGGATGAATAGAGGACCCGCGTATGGATATATAGCATGTAAAACATTGTAAAACGAACCATTGATGAATAGACGAGGTTGTGACTGAACAGTCTTCATTGACCTTCATTGACTCACTTGGGCCACTTGGGCATTGATGAGCCATGTGGCCATGTAGAATTCGTTAGCCTTAAACTGCTCATCCCCATTTATCCACAAGAAGGCCGCTCAGCCTTTGAGCCAACCTCTCAGAAAAGCTGTGGCACTGTACTGTTCACATCAAGCCCGGTCGCGTCTCCGAATGGGCAACGCTTCGCCACCTGGATCGATCTGCATGGGCAGCGGCCTCAAGCTGCGGAGGTGATGTTCCGCGGACTGGGGATGAAGCGATGAAGCCCGTTCGTTTGGATTTTTTGTGGTGGGGATTTTCTTCGGTTCTTCACATGACTGCGGTCAAAACACGCCACAACCACAAGGTTGCTGGGCCAGTGCGAAAACAAAGAAGGCCTGGACCAACGGGTACATGTTGGTCTTAGGATGTCTTTGGATAACACACGCGCGACTTCGCGCAGGATGACTTTGCCCAGCAACGACTTACAAGTGATTTCCCACCGACCATCGATCCCCGCCGGAAAGAACTTTCCTGCAGATCGGCGAGCTTCCTTGATCGAAACTCATTGGTGGACCATGCTGCTCTTCCTCCAACAAACAGGGAATAAGCTCGATGCTGCGGGTCTGGACCATGAAAAACACTTGACATTTCGCCGGAAACTGTGCTAGAAACTCATTCAAGCTTGAAAAATATGGGATCAACGAGAAAATGTGATGTTATTTTTCTTGGCATTGAATTCAGAAACTCATCGCGGTGTCGTGTTGTGATTCGGAAAAGACTCCGGCTTCGAAACTTATAACTTTCAACGCAACTTCCACGACGCTTGAAAACCTTGAACGAGCGGTCATCAAGCCCTAGATACCTAGCGGCCATCCAAAGATACACTCGCTGAAATAATCATCGAAGTGGAAAACCCACCTGTTTGCAGAGGAAAACAGTCTTCCAGGGGCCTAGTTTCCACTTCCACGATGATTTTAGGGAGTGATTTCCTGAAAGCTGAAAAAGAACTTAGGATCCCCACCCTCTTAGAGCATCAGCTCTTGCTGCAGCCTCAGGCCACGAGGGTGGCGACCGACCCGTTCGCCAGTGTAGCAGAGATCACTGGGTGGCGACCGGTAGCACCCTTTCCCCAGATCCATCCAGATCCCAAAGCCTGGGCTCAACTCCGATGTGGTGATCTTGTGTTGTAGGTGCATCCAAATCGGTGGCCAAAGTTCTCTGAGAGTGACATGAAAATAAAAAATATGCAGGTAGAGATGTGTTCAACCTCCCCAAAAAATGCGTTTCGGGCCGTTTCGGACGAGTTGGCCCATCGTTTCTCGCTTAGTTCCGCCAACGGAGGTGGCTTTAGGGTCCGTTCTCGCCGGCTGGCCTATAGCCTCACCGGCCTCGGCCGCCTCGTTCGGCCTTCGCGTCGACGCTTTAATTCCGAACATCCCATCGCGAAAAAGGGGTGCGAGAGAGTCCTCGACTGTCAGGGACGACCCACAGCCAGGCTCCAGGACCCACCAGTCTCTTCCGTGTTTCGACCCGACCCTCGCCATTGCCCTCCGGGCCAGCGACCTCGTTCCCCGGTCGACCCCCTGGAGCCCGGAAACACTGGCCGTCGCCCCTGAAGAGAAATAATCAGCCATCCTGCCGGTGTGTCATGACTCCACACGGTGCCGGCCATGCAAGGGCTTTGGCTTCAAGCTGGAGCTTCTGGAAGAAGCTGCTGGGATCTGAGCTGGGAGTTGGTGGGTTGGACCAACACCTTTGGTGTCCAATCTGCAAAACAACGAAAGCATTCGATTTGGGATTTGGGATGTGTGTAGATATCAGATTTGGGGATATTTGGGATGTGTAGAAATAATTCTACTGGAACTTCCCAGTGATTCGCACGAGGACCTAGTGGAATGTCCACAAGCTTCATCCAAGCCAAGTATTTCGTCATTCCCCAGTTCCTTCATTCAATTCGTAAGCCCTCCCGTCCTCTGCAAAGATGCACAGAGTACCGTCGCTGTTCGTAGCGGCTAGATTCAGAGCCCCGATGTGCGTAGCGGCGGAGCGGAGCGGGCCCGACTCGTCACCAGGGGTGGCCAAGACTCCATCGGGTGATGTGAGCACCTTCAGGTCTGTGCAACGACCTCTACAACTGGCAGGAGGATGAAAAGCTAGGCAAAGGTCCCCTCACCTTGGAGGTAGAAGATGGTAGAAGGGGCACTTCCCGCAGAGTCCAAGCAGAGTCCAGTAACGTACCAAGAGACCCTCCAAAAAGATGAACCACCCACCGGATCTCTTTGTACGACTGTCATTTCCACCCAACGGATCTTCGGATGATCTTCGGACCGTCATCCGTCATCCCTCATCCGTTGGTCAAACACTCCGAGAGCGTGGCGAAATGAGCAGTTTGGGGTAAAACCCAGCCATTTGGGCTTACCGGGTATTAGGGTATATACAAAAAAGTGATAGTGGCGGTTTGGTGGTTTTGATCGCTCAAAACTAACATGAAACGCACAAAATTAGCATGAATCCTGACCCCCCTTGATTGTTGCTGATCCTGAACAAACATTTGAATTTGTTCATGCTAGTCTGCATGTATTTATTTCCCTGAAAAGCCATGGCAACCATGAATCCGATCTTTTTGCAACCCTCTAAGGTTTGGCATCTAAAACTGTGTCAGATCTTGTGAACTCGACCACTCCATGTGGCTTTGGATTCTTCACATCTGACACATGCAACCAACAGGTTCCCGGTGCTTTGAAGATGTGGTTCCGGAGGCGTGGAGATCTTCCGGGACGCATTGACTGGCAGTCAGTGGTCCGTCCCATTGAAGGTCGTCCCACCCGAAAGCCGTTCCCAGACGAATCACATGAATATGGGTACTTCGACATGGTCAACCTACCAGGGTGAATTCCGGGCTCTGGGTGACCCTCATAGACTCTGGTATTGGCAACTTCCATGTTGTGCATGTCTGTGTGGGCTTTTGGCCTGTCTGTGTGATACGTGTCTTCATTGGTCGGTACCAAGTGAGTGCAAGTCGCAGCAAGCCAGCTGACGAACAATGGAATCATGCTGACTGTCCATTAATAAACCCCACCAAAAACGGAGATCGACTACAACCCTTCTGCTTGGGAGAGTGATATAATTATTCACAATAGTCAATAGTCTGCTTGAAATTACACCACCGTAGACCCCAAACAGGTGGGACAAAAAAAAGCATTCCCAAGTCCACTTTTTGAGACATCAGCAAGAAGGGAGACAAGAAGGGAGACAAAAGGAAACAGGAGGGAGACAAGACGGACACAATGGCCAACAAGAAGGGAGACAAGAAGGGAGACAAAAGGAAACAGAAGGGAGACAAAACGGACACAATGACAAACAAGAAGGAAACAGAAGGAAGACAGAATTGAGACAAGGCGGACACAATGACCAACAAGAAGGGAGACAAGAAGAGAGACAAGAAGGGAGACAAAAGGAAACAGAAGGGAGACAAGACGGACACAGTGACCACCAAGAAGGGAGACAAGAAGGGCGACAAAAGGAAACAGAAAGGAGACAAGACGGACACAATGACCAACAAGAAGGGAAACAAGAAGAGATACAAAAGGAAACAGAAGGGAGACAAAGCGGATACAGTGACCAACAAGAAGGGAGACAAGAACGAAAACAAGAAGGGAGACAAAAGGAAAAAGGAGGGAGACAAGGCCGACACAGTGGCCCACAAGAACAACAAGAATGGAGACAAGACCGGAGACAAAGGGAGACAAGAAGGCAGACAAGGCGGAGACCATGACCAACAAGAAGGGAGACAAGAAGGAAGACAAGGCGGACACAGTGACAAACAAGACGGACACAATGACCAACAAGAAGGAAACAGAAGGGAGAGAAGGCGGACACAGTGACCAACAAGAAGGGAGACAAGGAGGGAGACAAAAGGAAACAGAAGGGAGACAAGGCGGACAGTGACCAACAAGAAGGGAGACAAGACCAACAAGAAGGGAGACAAGACCGGAGACAAAGGGAAACAGAAGGGAGACAAGGCGGACACAGTGACCAACAAGAAGGGAGAGGGAGACAAGCCGGACGGAAGGCGGACACGCAAGGCGGACACTCCTAGAAAGCCTTGAGAACCCCTAACAGTAACCTGTTTGGCGAAGTACGAGTGAATAAAAACACTGCATGGCCAGCGGAAAAGGGCGGACACCAGCAGCAGGCGCCGAACCTGGGAGATGAATTGAAACGCTGCATGGCCAGCGGAGAGAGAATTGAGAACCCCTAACAGTAAACTCTTTGTGGGGAATGAATAGAAATGCTGCATCGCCAGCGCAAAAGGGCGGACACCAACAGTGACAGAGCTGGGAGACAAGGCGGACACCAGCAGTGACAGACCCGGGAGACAAATGAATAGAAATGCTACATGGCCAGCGGAAAAGGGCGGACACCAGCAGTGACACAAAGGGCGGACACATCTTAAGAAAGAATTGAGAACCCCTAACAGTAAACTGTTTGGGGAAAAACAACACTGGGATCTTCCATCTCCATGGGTTTTGCCCTCGTCCGCTCACGAGCCGTCCGCTCGGGCTCCTGGCTCGTCTCGCTCCGTGCCTCCTCGCAAAGCCTCGAGTCTGTCGCCATGTCGATCGGGGTCTCCCCACTCCGTCGCTGATTCAATGGATCAGGTGGTCAACCTGGAAATCCTTTTCTGGTAGACCTGGTAGCAGGTCAATTCACTGTGGCCATGAGTCTTGTTGATGTAGGTGGTGAAAGTGAAGAGAATAAAATCAGCAAATCGCCTAGTCTTCCCATCTTGCACATGTAACCTGCGAAAGGTTAGAGTCAGTTCATTAGTCAGGATAAAGCATGCCAGAAAATGGTCTGAGCTGTTCCAGGCGGATCACATTCCTCCAGGTCCGGTCGCTGTTCCCAGGTCAGGTCGCTGTTCACATACCGCGGGCTCAGCACCGGGCCTTTCCACCTGAAAGAGTGAGCGTCGAGGACGGCGAAGGCCGTAGCGTCCTTGCTCCTAGTAGTAAGGCCAGGAGCCCCTAAAAGCTTCCTTGCTCCGTTTGTAGCGATGCCCTTTGCTCCTAGTAGCTTCCTTGCTCCTAGGCTCCTAGTAAGGCCAAGCCGTTGGGATCCCTCGATGTGTTGGGCCGTGGACCCGCCGTTTCGACGGTGTCCGTCCGCTGCTTTTGGGAGCGTGCGTCGAGACGCGCCGGAGAAACGCGCCAGAGAAAGGCCGCAACGCATCTTGGGATATAAGGGTTTATGTTTACGCCCTGCGAAAAGCGTTCTTTGGTTCGATGGAACATTCCATATCTGCAAGGCTCGACTCAAGTGAAAAGGGTCCTCAGAGTTCGTGCATGTTGACCCGGCTTTGTTCAAGGAGTTCTTAACATAAGTTTGTACCTCAAAAGCTCTCTTCATGTAGCACAAGCATGTGGAACCCCACGTAGCTTCTTCAGAGGATCAAGATACACACCGATACACCAAAATTGGCATGCTACTGTACACATCTGTACACAGTAGCAGGAAGTCTGGGGATCCTGGGAAATCCTCCAACTAAGGACTGGTCAAGCCTTGTTCGGGCCTGGCAGAACCACCACATGCGACGTCCAGCGTTGGGGGCGAACCCGTCGCGGACCGCCGTCCGACCGTCGTGGTCCCGACTCAGAGCCGACTTCCAGAGGAAGTCTCAGCCTATACGTTCGTTTGGGATGTTCCACTGAACGGATTCACTCAAAAACCCGAATCGAGATGTGCAAAACATGCCCAAAACCCGTGGCTTTTGGATCCCATGATCATTTCGGCTGTGGGCCGTCCAGTGGATCGACCTGTAGGTTCACAGAAATGCACAAAATAATCTTGGGTGAGGATGAATAGCCTGTATGCCTCTTTGAACTGCAAGCAAGCTGCGGACTCTTCACCCCATTTGCATCAATGCTTCTCTGTTTTCCCGACCGATGGACATCTCCGTTTTCCCCGCCAGCCGCAATCCAAACCCACACCACCAAACGCACCTCTTGACAGCGACAGCTCTGCTGCAGCTGGACACAAAAGTCCTGGGACTGGGCGTTGAAAACCCCTTCGAGTCATCGCGCCGTTCCTTCCTTCCTTCCTTCCTTCGTTCGTTCGTTCCTTCGTTCCTTCGCTCGCTCGTGTCGAACGAACTGGGGTGCGTTTGTTTGGTGCTCACTATAAGTCTCAGAGCATCGTGCAAATCGAAGTTTATTACTGTGTATTATAGTGGATTTGAGCCCCGTGCAGCTCTGCATTAGGATGTCTATAGATATCAATGTGACACATATACATGAGCAAAAGTCGGTGATCTTTTCCTCCGTGCCATTGATCAATAAGCCATGTGTCCTTCAGTCTCCGAATAACATGGACCTTCAAATAGGATCCTACATTACCATGAAGCAATTCCCGCAGGAAAAATAATGAACCTTGCAAGGCTGATCTCTGTTCCCGTCCGCTGATCTCCAAGTCTTGCAAAACTCCTCGTTCGTCGCTCAGCGTTCTCCTCGTCCCTTCCACGCGAAACATCGACCTGACGTCCTCCTTTCTCCGTGATCGTGCTGGAAACACCGCCGAACAAACGCCTTCCTTCCCAGAACGCCGAAGGGGTCGCGTGACCACCGGCCGACGGGTCGGCGGCTTTCCTGGCTCATCTTGGCCACTTGCTCCTCCAAGCCCTGGAAGCGTCGAGCCTGAGTGGGGGGTAGGGGTCAGATCCTTGTTGCGAGGCCACAAAGGGAGTTCCTGGTACATCTGGGGGGAGACACACTTAGCGCATCTTAGCACATCGGGTGGTTGATCTAAATTCCTTCTTACGGAAATGAAGCTAGGCCTCGTGTCGACCTTTTAATCAACTATATACCATACAGAAAAATTATGTGGAAGCATCACAGGGTCCAAAGGTCAAGATCAAAGCCAGGTGACCGGGCCAATCATAGTCGGTTCTTGTTGGTGGGCAAGGGTATGGTCGATGGAGTTATGCTAGGGCTAGCAGAGTGAATCATATCATATAGTAATATATGGTTTAAAAATGCTTGCATATGGTAAGGCCATAATCCTTGATTTAAAAAAAATAATAATAATAAATGAAAAAGTCAACGTAAAAAAAAAAGTCAAATGGAAAAGTGAAAAAGTCGGGGAAAAAAAATGTCAAAATAAAAGGCAAAAATGGAACACAACTCGAAAAAAAAATGATAATAACAATAATAAACAAAATAATAGTAATAACAATAATAAATCAATTAATAAGTAAATGAATAAAATAAATGTCAAGAAAAGGTTTACAAAAAACATCAAAAAGTATCTCAAACAAAAAGTCAAAAATGGATCACAACTCGAAAAAGTCCAAGAAAAATTGCCAAAAAATATCAAACAGATCAAAAAAAGTCGAAAAAGGAGTCGGAAAACGAGTCAAAACAAAAGTCGGATCTGGGCCAATTGACGTTTTTGACTTTCTGAAACTTTCTAATTTAACTGTTTTTTGACTTTGACTTTTGGGACTGACTACTAATCTTGAAAACAGGCTCTCTCCAATGAAAGATGTTTTAAATATATGTTTATATATACAAAAGGGCCTTTATCATTTCAGGAAGAAGCTTTGAGGGGTATCTTTGGTTTTGGCGAAGGGTAGTTTGCAAGGATTTCTTGTGGATGCAAAGCCACAATACAAATGTTGCCACCAGATTGAAACCTTGTATTGCAGCACTGTGAGCACTGGATTCTTCACAAGCCATAGGCGATGGGGCCGTTTCTGTCCTCGCCTGAGGTGGTCGTTTCATTTCAGCGAGAATCACGGTCGTTTTGTATCCAGTTCTTTTCAAGTTCTTTTTGTGAAGTGCTGGTTGTTTGCATGTTCCAGCAACGAAGAGTCTAGCAATGTAAGAGTCTAGCAATGCCTCTAGCAATGTTGGTTGAAGCAGTCGGTGCGCTGCGAGACTAGCATCCAGCTTGAAACGACTCAGCTACAGTAGCCCACTGAGGATGATGGGCAATATGAAACAAGGAACCTGTATACCCACTGAAAATGCTGGGAAGGAAAGATGGCTTCGTTGGCTTTATGTGATCGCACTTCATCCATTAAATTTGCAAATCTGAGCGCTTCTACCGACCACGTAGAGATTCTTCGTTCGGAATTTCTACCTGCTTGATGCTTGGAAGGCTTGGCATGGTTGGAAATTGTCCCATGTCCCATGCTTAGCTGGCCCAGAAGCCTCTATCCAACACCTGAAATCATGGCGGATGGTCTCCACCCAAAACTGATGTCAAGCGATGAACTTTTTAAAGACCCTCGAAGGATACTGAAGGCGGATTCTTCGCACAGAAGAATAGCGATTTTTCGTTTTTTTGGCACTTCGGATTTTTGTACTCCAATTCTCCTCCGGACACTTCACGTGGTTTGCCCACCGGTTTGCTGTTTCGATTACGTCTACGCCAACCGGATCGTTGGTGTGGAGAGTCGCGACCGAGGGCGCGCTGGAGGACCCGAATCCGGAGTCCGTCGAATCGTCGAATCAGTCGACCTCGTCTGTCGAGGTTTTGAGGGACGAGCTGTTTTCATGGAGTGGTTTTGAGGCAAAATCCCACTCTCCTGGGGCACCAGACCAACTCCTCCCGCTGTTGCTCAGCCACCACCATGGCCTGAACTCTGTTGCTCAGCCTTTTTTTGCAGTCAGTCAAATATGAACCCTGAACAAAATGACCAGCAACTGGTGAAGTGACTGATCAGAGTTCAGTGATCAACCCCATCAATGTCTGAAAATGGCTGACCGGGTGGGCTTCTCCTCGGCTTCTCCTCCCCCCTTCTGCGTTCGCTGATGATGCCGGTGTTCTCTCATGCCATGGGTTCGAACGGCACATTTTCTGAGAAGCTTCACGGACAACCTGCAAAACGCTGCGTGCCAAGGTGGTTGTCATCTGCAACCCTTCAGCACAGCTTGGGAAGTCGAAAACGACCAGAGCACCAACCAGGGACCGGTCGCCGGTCGCCCTTGCGTTGCGACTCGAGGTCCAGTCGAACACGGACGCTCAGCAAAAACCAGAAGAAATCAACGAGTTATACCACTTGGAATTCCGTGACGCCTTCACATCGTTTGAGCATGTGATTCCGCTTCAAGACTCCCCGACTCACCGAGAACCCACCGTGGAACGGAGCGTCAGACTATGCCGTTGCCAGAGGCTCCTCGACTCGGGTGCTCAAACCCACTGTAGTCCGCACAACGAAACACATGCCAAGAGGGAACGAAGCTGCCCAACACCTCAAATGACCAATGTTTAGAGGGAGTATGAACTTCTATCGGGCAACCTCTATCTATAGACCAATGAAACCACCACGTTGTCACAGCTGCCTTAACTTTGCAAGTCAATATTTTACTTGCTCGTCTATATCACTGCCAACTGCTTTCTATCTTAAAGTGAACCTGAGTGGACCTCAACGGATTCACCACACTGCCCTGCCCTCGACTCTCCTGCACAGGAGGTTTGATCCTTGCTGCAGGCAGGTCGGGGCTCACCTGCATCAGCACTCGGCAGGTCGCCGTGGAGATTTCACACAGCTGCCTTTTGCTTTCGCTTCGTTCCTCGATGGAAGCAAACCTTTACTTCACCCTCGTCGATGAGGGTGGAGGCCATCGCTACGAACGGGTGGAGGTCTTTGCTGCTACGAACGGGTGGTGTTCGGGTCAGCGCTGGAACGGTTGGAATCTCCGTCTGCGCCTCTGGCCATTGACCGGCCAGGCCCCGCCCAGCGAAGTACAGCACGGAGCCGGTGCCCCAGCCAAGGCCCAGCACCACTCCGAAGTCAGTGGCCTGGGTGGCTGAAAGACAGAATGCAGTTGATTGATAAGGGCCCCCCATTATGAAGAGTGTTACAATCCAAATTTCAGGTTTATTCATCGAGAGTCTACATGATCTGTTTGTCAGGTCCATGAATCTCAAGGGCTGGGCAGCGAGACTGCTGCTCTGCAGAACAGTCGAACAGTTTTTCCAGGGACTAGCAAAACTTGCTCTTCTGGTGGCTAACTTTTGACCCGTCTGCCCAACAACTCAAGACAGGCCTGTCGCCACGGGTAGGGCATCATAGGCACCTTGGCTCCATGAAAAAGCAGAAACTCTTGCGCTGTTTTAACACACAAGAAAGCACTCTATATGTTGTATATTGTTGTATATAGGTATATCAATAATGTCTTTACACAAACTATATACTATATACACTTATATATATATACATATGTATCATACCCCCATCCCAGAGGAGCCAGAGAGCTTCGGCTAGGCACTTACACCGAAGAAGCGGAGAGACACCGATCTTCACAGATTAACGATCTTGTCCCTTACCCACTCCTACGGGTGCTGAAGAGCAAGAGTTCTCCTACACAGTCGAGTTAACCCCCAATAGGACCTAAACACTTCCACTGGGAAAGTCGGCAAATCGACCTTTCTTCTCGACGCTCGACAAACCGACCCAAGACCGGTCTGTCTGCCGAAACGCCGTGAGCGCTAAGCCAGGGATCAACACCGCCACCTGAGACATGGCCGGACGTCGGTGTGAGTGCTCCCCTCCGGAGGTGGGGGTTGAAGGCAACATAGGAGGCTTGCAGTGAACATGTCTAGCATGCTTTACTCTATGTAGATGAATACTCCACAGTGGCTGTCTCAAAGGATTTGGAGCAGTCTTGACCAACTGAAAACCCCCTTTGGTGTCTTGGGAGTGCTGGTCAACAAGGTTGTCTTCACGCACGTCGAATGCCTGTTGTTGCTCTTGGAGGAGAAAGTGTAAGCGATGCCTGGGGCTATCGTCATCGCCTCCTCCACAACTGGTCTCTCCACTGACTTAAAGCATGCCATTGAAGGCACGGCCATGGAGCTCAGACATGAACAACCACATGCCCAAGCTTCGTCGGCATCTTCCCTGTCATGGAATAGAACTGTCGTCAGCTTCCCTCCGGCACTTGTGTCCAAAGACTCACAGAAACTGTGTCGAACTCGCACCACCGGTCGCTCCGTAAAAATTCGTTGGACGGCCGCGAAGGTGGCACCACTGGCTCGAATTTGGGTCACTTCCCCGCAAAGCAAAGTCCTCGAGCAAAAATTTAACCTGAAAAAAAGAGAAACGAATCCCAAAAACACACATCAAGTCCTGGAAGCGATTGGGGGTGATGCTCATGTTGCCGCTTGTATTTTCCACATCATGAACAATCATAAGTGTGCATCTTCTGCATTACCAACTTGCGAGAAACTCTCTACAAAGACACAAGTCGTCAATCCCCAACCAGCACATCTGTCCCAGCCACCAACAGCCAACTCTTGCAGAGTCTTCTTGGGGTGGCCGAGACCAAGCCAGCCACAAAGAAAGGCGCCAGCAGCAGCTCCCACACGGGGGAGTCGCCTGCCAAGTCCAGTGGGCGCCCAAGGCAGTAATTGGATTCTATGCCCTAGCAGCGGAGCTTAGAGGTCTCACCCATAGTAAAGACCTCGGAGCACATCGGACCAGGTCCCGGAGCAAGTTCCTGAGCAGGTTGCGGAGCAAGTTCGTGAGCAAGTTCTGGAGCCGTTTCCAGAGCAGGTTCCGCGAGCAAGTCCCCGGAGCAAGTTCTGAGCAAGTCCCCGGAGCAAGTTCCAGAACAGGTTCGTTGGAGGAGGTTCTGGAGCCAGTTCCGGAGCCAGTTGGCAGCTGCCGGAGCCTCTGGGCAAGTTGCGAGAGGTCGCGAAACAGACTTCTGGAGCAAGTTGCAGAGCAGGTTCGAGAGGTTGGTAGCAGTTTCCCACAAGCTCCAGAGCGCTATGCAGGCTATATAGTGAGACGCCGCTATGATAATGTTGTCAGGCCGTGGCACTGACACATCATGATTCTGGCCTGTTGTCAAGCTGACACGTTGACATGCCGTCAGGCTACCATGCGGTTTTGCTAACCTGCTTATATGTCATACTTCTGACACGCGGCGTGCTTTGTATAGAGAATGCTGTCACGCAAACATGTAGACATGGTGGCATGATTCATATTGTTACGCAGATGTGGGTGTATCGTGGTCTCACGCCGGCGTTCGGCTGTCATGCTGACTCAGGCGTCATGCTGGTCACAACGTGTCGTGCGCTGTGATTGGTGGGCTCCAGTGACATGGAAGAGGTTTCCTGGTGCTTGTTGCGGTGTTGTTGTGCCTGCACATGCGTGGGCACATGTGCTACACTGACGTATTTCCATGTTGATATGCGTGCACATCACAGTGCAAAAGACTACTTTTGAAAACAAGAGTGTTTAAGCAAACACGTGCCACTTGTTAATAGACTTGCAAACGTCGCACGTTTCCATATGTTGCTATTGTCTAATCACCGAATTCATGCCCAGCTGTTGGGGATTTTTCTTGAGTTTATTGGCTTGGGCCACCTGAAGCATGTCAGACATGGAGCCTTGAAACCACCATTAATGCGGTAGAAGAGGTTTTAGGTCGACGCCATCATTGGCCTCTCATGCTAGCAATCTTAGTAGTCTGCAAGCCACAACAGCACCTGCCTTTCCACAGAATTGCAAGCCCATCGACATCTCTCCTCCCATCCTGGACGCCTTGCAGCTCCTTGGCGCGCCGGATCAAGAGCGGTGAGAAACTCATCTGAAAGGCGCGGATGCCTTCCACCAGCAGCAGCCCCAGGCCAATCGCCGCCTCGTGACCACAATGGGCCAGGTTCGACCACTGGGTGAGCAGGGCTTTTGGGGTGAGGTTGGAAAGCGTGGCTTTTTGCAGGATCATTGACTTGGACTTTGATGGCACCCGTGTTGACTTAGACTGCAGGCAGGTGCGTATGTGTGATAATATACAAATAGCGTACACATGTCATATTGCACCGGACTTGAAAGCGCAACAAAAAGGGTTTGACAAGCAAAAAGAAGCTTGGAGCAAACAACTCTAACTCCTCTTGAAGCACCCCGGCACATTGGAAGGTTCAACCAAACACCCCACAGTAATACCACCAAACCAAAGACTCCACAACCCCAGCAACTCACCAGTCAGATCAAGTTCCCAGCCAAAGAACTCATTCGATTTGACCCCTAAAAAGACGGACGTGTCTCTCTCCGATCCATCCTCGACTTGCCAAGGAGCAAAGCCCAGCCATTGGCCTGTGGTCAAATCCTGCCGGCGGAAGGGCTCCAACGAGCGGCCCAGTTCCATGAGGATGCAGTCCACGAAGATGTAGAGCCAAGCGCCCACTCCTCTGCGGAAGCAGTTCTGGGGAACGCTTCAGAGTGTCGAGAGAAGTACCCCCTAGTAGCGTCCTTGCTCCTAGTAGCGATGCCAGGAGCCCCTAGTAGCGTCCTTGCTCCAGAGAGGAGCCCTGGCATTGGGGAAAGAAAAAGAAGGGGGGGGTGCCTCAGTTCTGGCGACACTCCACTCCGCAACCGCGCCGAGTGGAACATGTGGCGTTCTTGGAGGCAAGCACAGAGCCTCCAACAAACACCTTCACCATTCGACCAAGGTTTTCAGTCATCCTGTCTCTACCTCTAGCAAAAAGAAAGATGTGTCTCAAAGAACATCCCAACAACAGCGTTGCGTGTAGAGATGCCTGCTATGCCTCCAATTCCCCAGGTTGACAAGGTCTCTGCCCTTCCCTTTGGCCCAGAGCTCCCCACAGCTGCGCTACAGCCGCCCAGCAAGGTCTCACCATGGTAGCCACCCGGATTTGGCACCGAAATGAAGGCTCCTAAAGCACTCCGAGCGAAGACTGGTAGGGTAGCACCAGGTTGCTAGTATGGCTTAGTAATTTGTAATTGTGTATGCTTTGAGAGTGGGTAAGGTTGGCTGGAAAACTGCTGATCGGTTCTATCATTCTTGTTTCTCACAACGCAGGCTGGGCTTTTCAATCCTGGCCAACTTGGAGTTCTCTCAAGCGTCCCTTGGGCCAGGCACGGGCGATGGCTTCCGCACAGTGCAGCTCTTACGAAGCCCCTGGGCACCTTGGTTTCTGAGTCAAATTGAAAAGGCAATTTGAGGGACAGAGTCATCCTCACCTTGAAGCTGTGGGTGAAAGGTCTAAATGGCTCCAGACATGATATGAACACCATTCATGCGAAAAAAGTTATAATCGCAGGCATCAACAGGTCCTCCAACTGCCCTCGCAACTACAGAAGATTTAGAAGTGGTTGGACATGCACAAGAAAAAGGCGAACCGAAACCTGCCGAAACGCTGATTTCTCAGAGTTCCTCCCAGGTTCTGTCTGGAAAAAATTGAACAAGACTTCGAGGTGGCTCAAAAGTAAGACCGAACCTAGCTGCAGTTGTTCGTTCATGTTTCCACCACCACCGGAAGACAAATCAGTCACATTCGGAGATCTCGCGCCTGCAACTCTAAAGACTGCGACCTGAGAAAGAAGTGAAATTCTTTTTGATGCGGGTCATGGAATTGGGAGAACCCCTCACACCCGTGTGGGTGTTCAAGGCGGATTCCATATTCTTTTTGCACCCAAGGATCAAGTTTCGTTCCTGAAACAATGCGATTGAATGGATTTGAGAACTTTAGGGAATCAGGTGCCACGACTGGGCATACAGATATACATGTGTGTCATTGGGGTTCTTCAGATATCAAAGTGTCAGATCGTCTATGTGCCCTCTCCAGAGCCTTCCGATCAAAGCTAAGCCTCTCGCACTTTTGCTTGCCAAGAACCCGTAGCACCTGCTTCTCAGCAGGGAGGGCTCCCAATCTCCCGAAAGCGTGAGGATGCAGCAGATGCCATGCAACCGTCTTCGGTCAGCGAAGGAGAATTGTTGTTCTTTGCGAAAGGAAGAAGAAAATCAAAGAGAACGAGGTCTGGGAGGTACTGAATGGGGTAAGGATGTATTAGAGCAAGTAATACGGGGTCAGCGCAAAAAGGTTTTTGCGCTTTCGCTCTACGAACCGTTTGAGTAGGGACTATTGATCATGCTTCTCTCACCAGGTTGCAGCATGTAGCATGTCAGCACCTGATCGTATTTACAAAAGTTTCACATGCCAAATGAATCGAGCCTCACCCAACGAAGAGTTCAGCAAGCAATTTTAGCCCTGGAGCCAACCTTTTCACACATCGCCACGCATTGATGATTGTAAAGGGGTTGTTCAATAATGCTGGAAATGCCATGTGTTTGAACTGCATTACCAACATCACGGAATTGGTTTCAACGCACAACGAATTGAAAAATATAATGTTATCTCCTGAACCCAAAAATTAAAGTATTCCCATGTTATTTCCATGCAAATGGTGATGTTCATCCAGTCTCCCTCCACCAGTGAGGCTTGCCTAATTTCTCGTCGTGCCTGGGCACCGCGATGTCCGGCTGCTCAAAAACACAAACGAAAATGATAGCCTTGCGCTGAAAAATTGATGATTGTTCAACGATTCCTGTAGACCGGGAGGAACCCGTACCTATTCTTGAGCTATGGCACCCCAATATCAAAGTTTCAATTTGGGGAAGCCTGCGACACTTCCTTATAGATGCATATAAGTATAAATATCTATATAATTCTATATATATATATGCTGTATATCATCTTGTCACTTGAAACAAATTGTTCACCATACTGAAGACTCACCTAGGTGCGTACGTGAATGGTTTACAGACTAGGGAATGGGGATGGAGAAAGAAAGGGAAAGAAATGGAAACGACAGGACAGGAAAGGACGAAAGTCAGGCTTTCACATGACATCAAGTTCGCTTTACTTGCAGATGATTGGCAACATATGGGTGAGACGAAAGTTTGCTCTGCGGCTGTGGGTACACCCTAGGTCGACATGTTGCGGGTTTGGATGTTACGCTGAGGCTGGCCATGTTGAATCTGTTTCCCGGATGCGTAGCGTAGCGAAGGGTTCTCGTTCAACTTTGGGGGTCTGGCCGTAGAGTCTTGTTCACGACGCATTGTCATTGCGTTCGCAACCGTTGGCAGCCGTCTGCATCCGTTCGCAGGAGGTCGCTATAGCCGCTATGGGGTTGACAGTGGGGGAAGCTTTTGGAAAAGGTTTTGGGTGGAAGCATGAAGTGTCAGGTTTGTGTGAAATAGCTAGGAAACGTGTGGAAACGTAACATGTTGAAGTGTGGAAGGTGATTTGGCGTTCGCAAGGTCGTATGTTGGAGGTGTTGGACGTCGTTGCGACACTGGGGTTTGCGTTTCAGCTGTTGCGTCGAAGCTGTGTTTCCGTGAGACGTCTCAGCTCAAATTGCGTGTGCTCAAAAAGTGTGGAAATAGTTCCAAACGTGTGGTGCGGTGCCACTTTTGATGTCACGTCGTGACTTTTTGTGGCAGGTGCAGTACTTTGCGATTGTTGGAGGTGTCGAAGTCAAATTTTTGTGGCAGGCGCAGGGAACTGAGGCTACGACGTTTGGTGGAGGTGAACGTCGCTGTGACAGTGGAATTGGTCTGTCAGCGGGCGTGGCTTAGGGGCTGAGATTGCGAACCTGCTTGGCAGCGCTGCTTGATGTGTTCGCTCTGATGAGACTTCCCGCTTCACTTTTGAAGGAAGTCTCGGACAAAATGCTCGAGACGCCTTGTCTTGGACTTGACGAGTGTCCCGCAAGAGTGCCCCACAACAGCACCCCATAGGAGTGCCCCACAAGCGTGCCCGACAAGAGTGTCCTACAAGTGTTACAAGAGTGTCCCACAAGTGTCCCACGAGATCCCACCAGAGTGTCTTACAAAGCTTCCCCACAAGAGTGTCCCACCAGAGTGTCCCATAAGCGTGCCGCGCAAAAGTGTCCAACAAGAGTGTCCTACAAGAGTGTCGCACAAGAGTGTCCTAGAACAGTGCGAGTGTCCCACAAGAGTGTCGCACGAGAGTGTCCCCCAAGTGTCCCTCATGAGTGTCCCACAAGAGTGCCCCACCAGAGTGTCCCACAAGAGTGCCCCACAAGAGTGCCCCACAAGAGTGCCCCACAAGAGTGTGTCCCACAAGAGTGTCTCCCTATGTTTAATGTGTGGCCCTTTTTTTCGAGTGCATGTGTGCATTCGGGTTCCATCTTGCTTCTTGAAAACACCCTGAGCGGGATGCCATACATGCGTGATTGACCAGTTTGCAAGGGACCGCCAGTCATTCGCTGCACCGCGAACACGGTCCCGAGTTGATGGATCTAATAGCTTCTTGTTACTAGCAGTAAGGATGCTCCTAGTAGTACGGCCAGGAGCCCCTAGTAGCATCCTTGCTCCTGGTAGCGATGCCAGGAGCCCCTAGTAGCGAACATTGCTCCTACCCATCAGGTGAGAACCCTCCACAGAGAAACCCTCTGATGCAAAAGTGTTGTGTGCCCGTCGGACCCCGCGCGAGATGGGACCGTGCTCGCAGCTCAGCAGGCCCCTGGATTGATCGAAACGGGAGTCGAAGCTTTGCAAACCGAAGTCAAGAACCAAGCAAAAATCCGCCAAACCTGTTCAAACCTGTGCTTGTGCAGGGTCTTATATGACGGTTTTGTTCATGATCAGCTCCCAAAGAACGGCCTCAACTCCCGACCTTTTTTGGCAAAGTCTTGTATGAACCACCACTTGGAGTTCTGAAGGAGGTTCTACCGACCATGATTGGAACTCGAGAGTCTCAAAGTGAGGACTTGTTCCTGATGCCTGGCTCTTTGATTTGCATCAATTCACACCCCACGACCAGATTCATGGTTGCTACTTCTACAGTTCTACAGGTTGTTCAGAGTCAAAGTCTGACACTTCTTGAGTTTGGCATCTCAATGTCGAGATGTTCCGCCACGCATCACCGGCGCCACACAGGTCTTGACGTGTTAATGTGGCAAGCCCAGCCATTTTTTAGTGATGAGCCATAGGGCCATAGGCCAATGGAGCAAGAATCAACACACACCCACACCATGGCCCGCACCCCATGGTTTCCGGTGTTTTTCTCCAACCAAACAGCGATCTGCTGAAACTTGTGTGATGGGCTCGGAGTTACCAGGAATGGCCCAACATCCTGTATCTTCTTTCCACCAAACTACAGCTGCCCACGGCACCAGCTCCTGGCCTCTCCCCCCGGTCCCGGCCCATCGCCGTCCTGCAGGTGGCTTCAAGCACCTCCAAGCGCCGCTGCAACTGCTGGCGCTCCCCTTCAGCCTGGCGAGTTGGCCCCGTTCCCGGAGTTTTCCCAAATCGCTGGGACATGGGAAGACAAAGGAGGACAACATCAAATCAGGGTTGGACCATTTTTGACGACCAAACGGAAGATCGTCATGTGGCCATTTTCACGCATTCGTGTGAAAATTGAGTCAGACCTGCGTCAAGCTATGGATTTTGCAACATCCTACCGCAGGATTTTCTCAATCTCGATCCCTTTGGCCAGCTCATCCACGAGCTTGTCCAGACATCTCACTTTTTTGGTCAACGGATCGTTTATCTCCTCGATTCGATGACCACAAACGATGCCTCGGATCTGCTTGGCGTGTGGGTGCAAGGTGGCTTTCCGGAAGAATGTGTCAAAAGTAACTTTGCTCTTGATCAGTTCCTGCAGCTTGGCTTTGCCAAAACCAGTTAACCACTGGATGACCTGCAGAAGCTCGTCCTTGGTCCGGCCCTTCTTTTCAACCTTGTTGATGTAGAGTGGATAGACAGATGCAAACGTCATGTTTGCTATCCGTGACTTCGCAGCTTTCATAGGTGTCATATCTTTCATCGACTTGGAGGCTTTCATAGCTTTCATGTCTTTCATCGACTTTGAGGCTTTCATTGCCACTTTCGGGGCCATAGAGTGGAAAGTCTCTGGCTGCGTTCAACCGCAGAACTACCGGATGCCTTGAGCAAAACAATGCCTCAAGCAACAGAATGACTTAGAGGCTCCAAGTCGGGAACAGTCAATAGCCCACAGCTGCTAACAAGGCCCAATGTCGATGGTGGACAAAAAAATGTTTGGGAAACCTAATGGACAGTCACCATAGACATCTCAGAGATGGGCCCAGCCAATTCCAGAAAGATAACTTTTGAGGAGGTTCTAGGTCTCTTTCCCACCTTTTCCGTCCAAATCCAGGAAGACGGAAGGGACCGTTGGCACATCAGACGTTGGAACATCGGTCTGATTGCCGGGCAAACCATTTCGAGACCAGCACGAATTCTTTGTGTTGCAGTCTCCCCGTGACCCGTGTCGGTTTTTTCACTCACATCAGGCGGTGTGAAGTCCCATCGACTGGCAGCCAATAGCAAGAAGCCACAGAGCCGGTTCTTGAAGTCACATGAGGTAATGCAAAACAAAAGGGCACTCAGGTTTTTAGTACTATGTTGCCTTAGCACTGCCCAAGTGGCCGAAGCACTGCGCACTGCTTCATCTATCAGCAAGAGAACAAGAATGAAAAAATGTCCAAGAAGAACGCAAAAGCCATGAAATCCTATTGGCACAGCCACAATGAGCTAGATCCAGTTGTACATGGGGCACACTGACTTCTGGCGGCCACGGCCTTTGTCCAACTGAGGCTCTTCTCACCAGGCGGTGGCAAAGCTCCACGGCTTTCACCACACGATGCTCGGCGTTGAACCACAACCACACCACACCCCCTGCGGCCGCACGCGAAAAAAAACGCCCACGCCACAAATAGAAGACGAATCGAATCGAAAAACATGTCCAGTCCACATGGCGCGCCTTTCGGAACTCAGCGGCAGTGCGCCGAGAGAGGGCGGTCCTCGGTCGTCTCTGGGCGTTCGTTCGGTCGCTTGGCACGTTCCTGGGCTCCGAGACTGAACGAGTTGTGCTTCTCCATTTACAACGGATGGAAGGGGCGCTGATGTGAGCCATCTCCATCTTCAGTGCCATCTCCATTTGCAACTCCAAAATACTGAAGATGGGTGGCTGGTGGAAGGGGCGCTGATGTGAGACCCACAGCTTGGACACACTTTTGGAGACACATGTTTTCAAACATACCATGTGACTGCCTTGATACGTCACCAAAGCTTGATATGCAACTTGAAAGAGTTTGCAGTCACTTGAGTCCTTCTGTTTGACTTGCAATGAAATCTTTCACAACCAGACCTAGGCCCCCGAACACCTTCTGCTCCATGCCGCTGGCTATTGCCGCCTGATCATTGGATTGCTGGAACACTGGTACACGTTTGAGCCACACCGGAATCAGCACCTTCAGCTTTGGAAAAAAAGAACGTACCAAAGGTGCTTCTAACAAGATCAAGTTTGCTTTGTCTTGTTGATGGGATTGCCACACTCCCGGTCGGAATCAGTTGAGTGTGCAGACCTCTGAATCATCAGGCTGACACCGCAAAGGCCAGGATCAAAGTCAAGGACCACTGGAAAAAAAGAACCTGGACCTTGCCTGTGAGCTGATCCAACACGCATAGCGCGCCAAGGTTTCGTCCACCATGGCGGGGTGCGAACACACTTCACCCCCGGTGATCCCGTGCCGCCAATCTCTGGTGTCCAAAACCCTCTCTTCGTTTGGCATTGGTGAAGACTCTCTTTCAATGACTAACAACCGGTCACGGCTCTTGACAATCAAATGGCCTTGACTTCTCAAAAGCGATCGCGGCTCTTGGATCCGAATCGTTGGTTCTTGACTAAGACTTGACAAAAGCGTTGCTGGTCAAAGTATCGTGTTCTTGCCAACACAAGGAAGCAAAGCGTGTTTGAACATAGAAAGATTGGTTTCGATGAGAAGTTCCAAGTTACGACCAGTTTCGACGAACGAGGGGTTCGACCATGTTTCGTGCGTTTTCCAGGCAGAAGAGAGGAAAGAAAGTATTTGCAATGGAAAGGCAAACATTAACCAAGCCCAGCTACCTACAGTATGCACAGAACCTGCAGTTCACATCAACATGTTGTACGGACTCGCGCTCAATCCACCAAGAATTTGCTCCTGCTCTCTCTTTACTTGGAGTATTTAGTCAGAGTAGTCATATAAAGATCCCAGACCAAGATCTCCAAGTAGTGGTTACATACATAATTCCTTCAATACATGCATGCGTTTTTTTCCGAACGCTCGTGTCCATCTTGCTTCTCACGTTACGACTCGCTCAGGTGCTGATGGCCGCACGTTTTGGCCGCACGGCGTCAGCTGCTTCATCGCCCACCTGGCACGAAGAACATGGCGCCCGCGCAATGACCTTCATGGAATCACCATATCGTATGACCTTCGTATCCCATCCAGAACCACCCAGAAGCACCTAGAACTCTGAACCATTTTGCCCTGATCGATCTGAATGATCGATCTTCCTTCACTTGAGCTTGGAGACTTGAGTCAAGCGCCATTAAGATTCGAAGTATATGCGACTTAAAATGCTCAGACATGTAGAATCTCGATTCACAGAAACCCTCCATGTGGGATGGAAAAACCTCTTCAAGATGGAGAGATTCTACTACTCAAGATTCTGGGTCGGCTGGTGCTTTCCTCTCAAACTGGCGGCCCATCTTCCCACCCACCGGTTCAGGGATTTCAGCGCCTCAACGTTCGCGTTGCCATGGAGCGTTCGCATTGGCTCAACTGCTCAAAACAGGCTCCCACAAAGAAACACTTGCAGGCAAGTGGACCTCAAGACAGTTTCAAACAGTCTTTTTAGTCTCAATGATTTTATGCTGGGGGGTGCCCCGAACCCTCTGCTTCCGAAAGTCTTTCACAGAGGCGGGACAACGGCCGGGATCAAGGCAACCTCTTGAACCAAAGAGCCAATGGGACATGGATGTCACACTGTCACACCTAACATGTTGGAAGTTCTGCGGCACTTGAGTTGATCAAAATGACTTGTTTCAGGGACTACTCAGACCCATGTCAGGACGTTGTAAGCATCGTTTGAAAAAGCGTTTTGCCAGGCTTCGCACATCAACATCCAAGGACATGCTGCAAAAAAGAACATAGAGGCATCCTATCGTTGTCCAAGCAAAACATCACAATCACAGTCTTGGATGAAAACGTCCCTGTACAACGTAAATGACGTGGGTGTTCAGCACCTCGCTTGAGTTGGACATTTACAAAGGGCGACTCAACACTCAGAATACGCAACATCTCGCTCGCAACGCAATGCGACGCGACCGCGACCGCGACGGCGGGCGGGGTCGGCCAGTCGGCGATGCTTTGTCCCCCTTCCAGAACGAATGGTCCACGGCATCCTGCGAATCCTATCCTCAGCTCCAGATCGTCCTATCAGTCCAGAGCCACTCGGGCACGCGAGACGAATCGATTTCGCGTGACCTCCATAGGTCAAATCGGGATGCGAGACGTGCCCCCGGTTGCTACCCCGGTTGCCACATGCCCAGCAAAAAGCACAAGAAACAAGTACCTATATCTATATCCCTAAAACAATTGGTTTTTAGCAAGACTAGCAACATGACACAAATAAGAAAACGCCTTGGGCATTAAACTTGCGTAGAGGCGGCATCAAGGAAATTGAACGTAGCAAGTGGCAGAATGATACTGTAAACAAATCAACAAGAAAGTATGCAAAACAATGTCCTTCTGGGTGTACTTCCTGCTATGGTCTATATCCACGCCACCTACAGACGGAGTAATCATGCATCGTGTCATGTTTTCGCTATCCCAGCTTTCGTTGTTTCTGGCTGGAATTCGAAGCACCTTGAATTAGCTGCATCACCAACTTCTTCGAATCAAAGTAATCAATCCTCAGATTCGACCAGGGTAGGGTGATGAAAACGTATATGATGACTCCCGGACCCTGATGTCAGGCGGTGCGGGGCAGAAAAAGAATCGTGATGAAAAACTGGGCCAACAAGGAAACAATCACCTCAATGATGGCTGTATGACACAATGAAGTGACATGAGGGTGGGGCTGAGATATCACATCACCCATCTTCAGTGGTGGGGGGCCTAGATGAGATACTCCTCCAATGCATTTCCTTTGTGCCTGAAGGCGTGACCAAAACTGACCCGCCCAGCCGCTTGGCTTCGCTCCCCGGCCCGCTCCCGGCGCCAAGTCTCCGGTTCTTCTTGCCTCACCCGGGCGGCTGGGACGCCGGTCCTTGGGGGTTCTTGCTTGGGGGCTCTTATGTACACCCCACCCTTGAATGGTGGATAAGATGCCATTTATACGGACATCTTGCCCAGGCAAAAGGAATTACCTTTTTGTGGTTGGAACCCCAATCCAACAAATACTTTGGCTGACCTCATGGCTTGGTGCGCTTGGCAAAGCGTTGTCAGATTGGTGCGCTTGGCAAAGCGTTGTCAGATACCCTTCCACAAGAATAAGGTTTTTCCGTGAACTGGGACACCGCCGCGGCAAAAAATCTGTTCTGTCTCCTGTGACTTGGACCATTCGCCTTCCTTTTCAGACCGTTTCCGATCGTTTCCAATCTGGACATGCCCCTGGACATGGAGGCCTAGTTTGGTTGTAGGGAGAAGCGCACGGAACAGTGGAAGTCACGAAACAGTCTTCAGATATGGAATCGATGCAAAAAGGGGATCAAAGACACATGCTGGCTCCAAACCAACGAGCGGCAAAACAAATTGACAAAAAAGGTCAAAGAAAGAGCGCTGCCTCAGTCTACAGAAGAGTTTCCGGGTCCCCCGTCCTGCCTGGTCCACGCCATACACCAGGTGGCATGTAGTAGACCTGTCAGGGTTCTTTTACCACGATGAACCCGATGTTTTGAAGCAGGAGCCAAGAGCCTTTCCCCCCTTGCTTTTGGTGATCATCATTGCATCCATCTGACGATCATTGCATCCATCTGTCGATCAGGGTGCTATCTCGTGGTTCGGGTCAATTTGGGAAGAACGATGATGGCAGTCAAATCCGTGAGTTGCTCCATTCCAATTAGCATCGCCCAGCATCGCTCGATGCTAAGGACCCGTCATCGTTAGGCTAGTGTTCCGCACCCTTACGACTCGGACCTGCACGGCGGTTTTCCGCACCTGCACTCCCATTCCTCGAGGTCCGAAGTCCATGCGCCATCCTGGCGGTCAGATGGGTCTACCCCGATGGACGCGTTCCCTGTCGACTCGGCTGCCGGCTGTCGACAGGCCGAAGCTGGGCCTGTCCTTGGGCTTCAAGTTGCTGCCAAACAACTTCCCACTCAAGATCCTGCCGGCTTCGTTCCAGCTGGGCACCCTCAGAAAACCGTTCATCATTCATGGCTGAAGGATCTACATGAAAGCAACAAGAACTACCGTATAGTTTGTATATATATATATATTATATATATATATATATATTTATAGTATATATATATGTATATATATTTTATATATATATATGTGTGTGTATATAGTAGACAGTAACTGTATATAACCCCACACGAAGTAAATGCGCGATTCTTGTCCAAAGGCGTGTGGCCAGCTGTCCAAAGTAGGCACAGGGGTGCAAGGGCTTATTCAGGGCTACAAGCTTCCACTAGAGTGGAATGGGCAACATTAAGCTGAATAAGGTTGCCTGACCAGTATGCTTCACATGTAGGAGGCAAGGATTATTTAACAAGCTTCCTAGGTCCCTCAAAAAAAATGGGAGATTTGCATGTCTTGCAAGTTGCCGGCGCTTTGCACAACACACTAGCAGCTAGGCATTTTGTGACAAGACTGAGCAGCGACTTCAATCCCTGTCACTGCCAAAGAGCGTTGACAACACTTGTCTACAATACAATGTCTTTTGTATTCGGAAACTCTGCAAGAAAACCCGGCCTCTTGATGCTTCACTTCATCGGAAGCGACATCAGAAGCGAACCGTTTTAGGGATACGGTCTTGGAGGATGAAAGTGGCTCGACAGCGACATCACCTGCCAGGGAAGAGCCACTGTGATACAATCGCCCGCGGAGTGCTAACATGGCCAGTGCCGGACCTTTCTTCTTCGGCGTGCGCAGTGCCCCATTGACCTGCCATGCCGGACCAACCTCAACCTGTATCATTATTGAACAGGAAAACAAACAACATCTGCGCTAGAAAAGTATTCAGGTCTAGAATGATCAGCTTATAAAGAACACACACAAGAAATAATAAGGAAGACTGAGCTCAAAGCCCAGAAACATAACATACATGCTCACTTGCAAGCTCAGACTAAATAATACTCAGACTCGATTCCTTGGAGTATGTTTACTTGTGACTAGTTCAAGTATGTAACCACACATGAGGTAAATATGTGGTACTGACCAGTCAAATACCACACAAATACAGAACCAACTATATAGTCAAGTATGTGACTAGCCAAATTTCTGTTCCATCCATTGGTGGTTTGTTCCTATGCCTTGCTGGACATCCTGCCTCGAGTTGCCTGTCCTGTTGGACATTGATTTTGTCCAAGTCATGTGTTTCAAGTTTCAAGACTTCACTCACTTTGGTTGCCTCTCTGTGGGACCTGAAAAATGCCCAATATTCCAATCTAGCCACAATGTCACTTTACATCAACAAACGTGTGTGCTTTGATATCTCAGACTTGGGGGTGCCGCCATCTTGATCCAGCTTTTCTACGGGCCTCAGGCCCGATTCGAAGGTCATGTGGTCACCCTTTTGAGGGCCCAAACGGAGCAACGAGAGCAACGAGAGAAACGATACCAACGAGACCAACGAGATCCGGAACAAGACCGGAGGGCGGTGCGGGCCTGAGAATGTGGCTCATTCTCACCTGTCACGATAGACTACGGAAATCTCCAAGTGAACTACAAACACTTGCTCCGAAGAAGTACGGCCTCTCAATTGGACTGGCCACTTTTTAGTAACATAGCCAGGTGGACAGCGATCTGGGGTGCGGCAGCCATCTTCGTCCTGCAACTTCGGTGAGGCCAATTCAGGGAGTCAGGGAGTCTGCAGTAGGTGGTGTGATTTGTGCGGAAAGATTGAATGCTTCCTACAGCAACCCCACCAGTATGGATGGAACGACCCCAAATGGCTTGGTGGAGTTTCTTGGGGAGGCCTCTTTGAGGCTGGACATCAAGCCTGGGCCCGGTTCCATGGATCGGATGGGCCTGGGCCTGGTTTTGAGCGCACTCAGCTCTGCCAGCTCCGTCCGACTCTTCCTGCACCTTTCCGGCAGCTTGGGAAGTGAGTGGAGGGGCTGCTGTGATGGCCACCACAGGACATCTGCCACAGGAACTCTCGTTGCAGGAAACCACTGAGGCGCGCACCACGTGTGTCTCTTCAAGCTGCAAATGAGGCTTCTCTTCCTGACGAGTTTGAGGTTGCCACGAGACATTCCGCTGCATTCAATCAAAAGGAAAATGCTCGTGGCACCCCGACCGATTGAATTATCTTGGCATATCTTTTGTGCCGTTGAGCGTGTCTCCCCCCCGTCCTGAAACACCGGAGTATCAGCGAGGCCCGCCTCCTCATCAATCATTGCTTCCAGGATCTGCGACAACCTTGGCAAAAAAAACAGGCACATTGCGATTCAGCATGTGGAAACAGCCAGCCAACGAGGTGTTTTTTCTAGATATAAACAGTATATGATTGCTAAATGGACATGTGACATCTCTTTCTCTTTACGCTTTTGACAGACAAACATGTTTGACACCAAGAGGCGACAGCTCTGCATCGTCACTGAAAGAATCCATGACTGCCTCGCCATTCAGCTTGTCAGCTTGTCTGCTTGTCACTGTGTGCTGTTGAACAAAACATCAAGATGTTTCTGCACAAAACTGAACATCTCTTTCGGGTAGAACCGGGTTCCACACCGAGACCGCGAAAGTCTGAGACGCTTGGGGAACCGAGGTCTGTGAGCGTCGCGTCCGGGTCTGTGAGCTCAAGCGCTGAAGTGGCGAAGGCTCATGTCAAGGGGTCACTTACAAGTCTTACTAAGTGTACATATTATATACTGTAGTTGTGTGTATGTGTAACTAAACATCGGTGTGTCAAGAGCAATTGTACCAAAAATGCACGAGACACGGCAACGCTTCGCATCGCCAGGAAGACGAATCACCCCCCATGTCTTTCCTGTTTGACCGTCAGCCTGTCAGGCCCAAGCTCAGCTTCGACGGCCACGCGCCGTGCGCAATCGTGTATGGCAATCGTGTACGGCAAGGGGTGTTCCTCAACTGCAGCAGGGGTGTAACAATGCGTGTAACAAGCGTACTTCTTGTTTGGCTGAAAACACCGTTCATTAGGCTTGGATCGAAGCAAGCCTCTGCAAGAATGGTCCAGTCCAGGTTCATTCAAGTGATAGCTCTCTTGCGCAAATAACAACTTCGAACACAAAAGATCGTTGCCGCATGTCCGCCAAGGAAGACGCGCGAAACAGTCCATGCAACAGTCCACGTCGTGTTCATGTGATTGTTCATGCTGAAAGGCTTGGTGTAGCAGAGTCTAGCATGCGCAACAGAAAGAACAAACACACGAGCAAACACAGTCCCAGAAGTCCCATGTGACAGCAGTCCCAGAAGTCCCATGTCCCAAGTGATTGAGACCGATCGTACGAAAGGGGAAAGGCACCTGTCAAAAGAAACAAGCAACTTGCACAGTGCCACGGTGGCATGTCTTTTTGGGGACGTCTTGAACACCTAACACCGGCGTGGTTGAGCCACCGTCCATGTCGAGAGCCAGTGTGTTTGAGGCCCTAACAAGACCGTCAAGAGATGATGTCTGGGTCACAGCTGTTTCAGAAAACTAAAATGGAAAAACCTCCTAAACAACTCCCTTTTTTGAAGATGGATTCATAATGCTGCAAAAGTTGCAGAAAAAAGCCGGAGTTGCACACCAGACAAGTGTCAAGTGTCAAAAATAGCAGCTACGTATATGGCAAACAACGCCGTCTATCCTGTGTCCGCTCTGCACCTATTTACCAGTATACCGACGGACTGGAACTCAGAATGTAGGCGCCGTTTTAAAAAAGTCTCTTGACATCCGAGAGTCTCTTGGACCCAAGTGGCCGA